AAAGTAAAGACAGTTAGTCAGTGTGCTGGCCACATAGCACCCTTGCAAATTGTGGGTCACAGACACAGATGACCTTTACATCATCTAACCCATAGATCCCAAGGTCTGATAGGAAGATATGGTGTCAAAGACTCCCACTCTCCCTCTAATGGACCTCAGAATTTAAGCTAGTTTCAAAGATGTTTAAAAAGGTTGCAAGTGTTATGAATATTTAAGTCTGATGACCAACTTTTCTTGAGTTAGGATGTGTTGAGAAGGAATATTATCACCTACCCCTGTTCTGTGAAACTTTTAAACTTTGTTCATCTTCCTATACAGCTAAAGACCTATCCTAACCATAATATTCACTTCCCATTACTTCTTTGACATGCTTCTCTATCTTTTTCATATTTCTGGTTTCGTCCCTTGTAGGTGAGCCTCTGCAGAGCCTTAACTCTTTCTCTCCATAATTATTTTCCACGTTCCGACAGAATTATTCATTTTTATTTGGTATACAATTAAAGGAAAATGCACACCCTTTTAAGATAATTTAATTGATGTTTATAAAATGAAATATAAAAGTTTATTTTGGATAGTGAAACTTCGAAGTTAAAAAGTTGTACATATTGACTGTGGACAAGTCTCCCTTAAAACTATCTCGACAATATTTTATGATCCAAATTAAATAAAAAGTATTTTTTTTATAATAGTTATTAATATTTTCACAAAATTAATTATATAACATATATAAAACTAATTGTCTTGAGGTCACTATCCCATGTCACACTTAGACTTACTTAAGACTTAGCTCCTCCCGCGCTGTTCGGCGCATTGGGCAGCAAACTGTCTCCATAAAGATCTGTTGTTGGCAATGTCTGAAGCCTCCTCCCACCTGGTGTCCACTGTTCTGAGGTCCTCCATGAAGATGTGGCACCAAGTATTATTTGGCCCCATGTCACACCCCCTATACAAATTAATATAGAAAAATAGAGCCTTTTTTAGCCCCCACTATTTAAAAAACATAGTTTCTTTTGTAAAAGCACAATCAAAATTTTAAAAATTCATATTTTTTCCAAAGTGAAACTACTCAAGATTTATTTGTAAGCAATTGAAAGCATTTTGTAAGGAAAGATAACAAAATAACTGACTTTTTAAGCATAGATGATAATATTATTGATTAGGCTGTATAATGGGATAAAATCAACGATGATATCAAGCAGTTCTTATATGGCCCAGTCAATTTTTGATTCTGGTGCAAACAGACATTTTCAAAGTATTTTGAGAACAAATGCCTTGTAACTCCCTAAGCTTTCCTTCTAGCTTGCTTGACCATTTCCATTGTGACCATTTCCATTGAATGTTTTCCTTTAAGCATTAAGGAAATTAAGTCAGTGTAATATATATACGAAATTATTTTGTGAAGCAGAGTATTTGAGCTTTTATTGACCTGATACTACAACAGTGCTATAGAATTTGTATTGTTTTGTTCTTGTGATTGATAACAGTATTGAATAGCTTTGTGATCTGCCAATTCATTGATTTTTATGTATTTTTACATCAGTCTAGTAGCATTCGTTTAACAAGTGATTGTGTTTAAACTTTGGCCCTATTGTCAGTAACAATTTATTATATGCATTCCGTCCATAGAACTATTATTGATTATTTATTTAAGTTACATTGGCGTTCATTGTATTGAAATAATTTTTTATGTCATCAGCATTTTTTTAGTGTTGATATCTTTATGAGTATTTGTGTGTGCGATGTTATTAAATTTATTGAATTCATTAATAATTAAAATATTATATGCATATATATGCAGGTTTGATTTTGGTCCACACTGAGTCCATACATGGTATTTTATTTCCCCCAGTACACACCATATCTGAAGGCATTCCTCTATCTGCCACCTGGGTAGGCGCTCGATGGAAGCTAAAAAAAACTCCCCACAAGAAAACATATTTATCTACTTATTAAGAATGCAAATGCTTTAATATTTAATGTTATTGAAGGCACAAACTGTTCCATTTTATTGTAGATAGAAATATAATTGAAATTTACAATATGTTGTCATATTAGGCATTATTTTGGGGGGGGGAAAAAATTAAAAGTCTCAAGCCAGCTAAAGTTCATTGTTAAACAAGTTTCACAAGATGATACATTTATTTGGAAAAAATAAAATACAATGTCTGTAGGTAACATGTGTATGGAAGAAAATTTTTAATCAAATAATGAATTCACTATTTATTTATTTAGGCTTAACATTACAAGGTGGCAAAAGAAAATATTTTGCTAATATTTTTTTTTTTTTCCTTTCTGATGTCTAAGAGCTACGAATTGTTGCCAAAGAAAGACATTTTGATGAACCATTTCAAATGAACATCTGCACATAGAGAAAAGTTGGTCTAGATCTCTATTTTGTTGTTGGCAATTTTTTGTGAGTAGATAACAAAAAGTGGGAAAATCTTTAAGTTATCATTGGACTAGCATCTGAAAATGTAGACACATACAGTAATAGTGTACAAGTGTCAACTATCAACTATTTAAACATACTTGCATATACATACTTATAACAGAGAAAAAGTAAAGTACCATTTTCAGACCTTGCCATCTATAGGGCAGATGATGTAAAGGTCATCTGTTTCTATGGGGGATGGTTAACAAGGGTGTCATGTGGCCAGCACAATGACCAACCACCTCTATTTCACCCAACTAATGTCAGGTACCCATTAAAGTTGGGTGGATTTGGGGGCGTCCTAAAAATTCAAAATCCAGCCTTCACTGAGATTGGAACCAGAGAACCCTCAGTTTGGAAGCCAAGCGCTTTACCACTTAGTCATCATGCCCCCATGTTTACAATAAAATAATATAAAACATTATAGTTAAAAATGTGTTTAATGTCATTAATTGCATGGCTAACCTTTTTTTTTTTTTTTTTATAAAAAATAATTTTGTCATGTTTTCAATTGAAAAAAAACAAACTAGGCTACATTTTAAATCATAACCCTAAATTTCTTACACTAGAGTAGTCAACATATCCTAAAGTCCTAATACTTGTAAACAATGCCATTAATAAAAAAAAAAAAAAACTTACTGCTGCAGAAGTGAACAACTGTATAAAAAATACAATATACATAAATATATGAAAATCTGCTTTTTACATTAGTCCAGCAGGGTTTCATTTATATCAAGTTTTTTAGCCATGTATTCTTACAAATGACCTATCGATAGTAAAAGCCAAAAAAAACAATACAATGGTCAAAATATATTTTTAAATTCCATGTCTTCTATCCAGAAACCTAGATAGACTTTTTTTCTTTTCTAATGTTTAATCTTCTATCTCATTGTATTTGATGTCTTTTATCTGTAACATACTCACTTTATGTGTTCTAAGCCTATCACAAGAGCTCTCCATCCACTCAACTGAGGGAGAATAAAAATTGCATTAACTGCCATGAAAAATGGAAAGAAAGCACAACACATTACAACACAACACATCACAACACAACACATTACAACTAATGCCCAAAACACAATTTTTATGATGCCCTCTCTAGAAAGAGCTGTTTTTTTTTTCTTCACCAACCTATGGGGCTATGATGAAGAATACAGTTGACTCTTGACAGTCTGACAGTTACAAGAGTGGGAGTTTGAGTTTAGGCACATCTGCACAATTTAGGCCATGTCGTGCCCGTAATCCTTTAAGGACTACTCTGTCTCTACATAACAAGGGCTAAATTCTATACAGTTAAATCATTAAAATCAAGGTCTATTCACAGTTACAATAGTAGGGGTAGTAAAAATTTAATAATTTGGTAAAAATCTTATGTAAATATATGTTCACAGTTCAAAAATCAGATCTTAGTAGACAACCCCATCTCCCGGACAAAGCCCAGTACCTTCCCAGGGTCGACATTGTCGAATAGTGTTTTCAAGGTGTGTGTTCTAAAATATTTCTCCCTGACATCCTGGTATCTGGGACAATCAATGAGGATATGTTCCACGGTGAGGCGAGAGTCACAGTACTCACAAAGTGGGGGCTTCTCTCTCTTCAGCACAAAAGAGTGCGTGATGTAGGTGTGGCCAATCCTAAGTCTGGACATGGTCGTGCTACCACACCTTGTCAGACCCTTAGATGTGGGCCAGGATTGGGAGAGTGTCGGATTACCAAAAATGTTGGATAACAAAATGTTAGCTGTACCTCAAAGAATTCTAATTACAATGTCATAAGATATTGTCTTAGAGGCTCAAGGCTAAAATAACATTTCCCAATTAGGGGATATTCACTCGTTTGCATGGGTTTTCATTTTTATGTCACCTTCAATAGATTTCACAATGTTTTAGTTTCTCCTCATTTTTCTTGTTGTAAATGGTCACAGGATGCCATTAATTCAAGAAATAACAATGGGAGTTTCATTATGGTCATAACTTTTAACCTTAACGCTATTTCCAGTTTGAAAAATCGTTAGCATTTCCTACAGCAAAGAATGGAAACTAGAAATAAAAAGCTTTAAAAAATAAACAATATGTCTAGTTTCAAAAAAATTTTGACATTTAATACCTTTACAATATTAAAAAGCTTCAAGATGACTCAATGCCCTGGGTGGTGGTTTTGTACTAGGGGTTTCATTGTAAAAAATTCCCAGAAATAAAATTAGAAAGAGATAGACATCCTGTTTTCACTCAAAAGGAGTCACCACGCTCTCTTTCTCAACAAGACAAGGAAAGTTAAAGAAACTGCTGCTAGAGTCCAATGCAGTAGTGTAGTGTTCATTGACACCACATCCTACCACAATAAAATCGATTGGGTTAATCATTTTTGGAAGAGACAATGTTTTAGGCTTATGTTTGACAATTTTGCTTGCCATCGTGTGCAAGACGTAACAAAAATTCCAACACTGAAAAAAATAAAGCAGGTAAACTGTCAAGTAGTAATCACAGCAAGATTCTTAAGGAAGTTTCACCATATAACACAGAATCAATGGATGAACAGATGCAAGACACGCATGTCACAACATGCATGTGCAGCTGATGTATATAGATAACTAAGTGTGTTGGATTAAAAAGTGGCAGACTATCAGAAGTCAACTGTAGAAATAAACAAACAGCAAATTTTAATGAAGCAATTGGTCTCAGTATTAAATTACATAGCAATATGTCTATATATTGTTCTAAAAAGTATATTCTCCAATGACACCAGACAAAGATGAGGACAATGGAGATGAAAATCATTATTGTAAAGATAACAAGGAGATAACCAAAAGAGTATAAGTGGTTGATAAAAAAAAATATATTCAAATAAAACTGAAGCTAACAATATATTTAAAATAACATGTACATTGTGCTGTTCAGAAAAAAAAAAATTAAACATAATCAGTGAATGGAATAAAAATTGTTCCTTCAACTTTATAAAAAGTATTCTTGAAAATGCAAGTAAATAATGCACTTATACAATGGAAGGATGTCTAAAAGATTACAACTTCAGAACTTTCTGGGGAAAAAAAATATCTTTAATTACAATATTTTTTTAAAGAATCCAGCTAGCAATGAATTCAATTAAAATCTACCCATCAGCTACCTCAATAAGCTAAGTATAGCCTACATAAGCACAAGTATGAACTTTTTAAACACAATAATTATAATATCCTGAGTTGTTCAAATGGTTTGCATTGATGGGTTTTTCAAGAGTTTTTCTATTCATTAAGGCATGATTCAGTTGAAGCAATTGTAGCTCAGAGCAAAAAAACATTATATCTCTCTGCTGCATGCATTACATTGAAGGATCAACATCTTTAAACAAATTTTTGACAAATTAATTTTACCAATAGACCCACAAGCCATGTAAGGGACATTATCATCTCCTTTTTTGAAGTATTGTCTGTATATTATAAGATAAGATAAGACATAGCAGTATCATTATTATGCAAGGCTGCAAGAGTGATATACTAACTACCACAACCCTCAGAGGAGAACTAGATAACTGCATTATCAGTGCATTTAACTCACTGAGTATAAGTTCATTATCCTAGTGTTTAATTTTAAAATATCAAATATTCTGCTTATGTATAAGAATTCATATTACCCAATCTATCTAAAAAATATATTCTACATAGATCTATCATTCACACACAAGTATATGCCTTCACAAGCAGAAGAGACATGACAAAACACAGTCACAAAAAAAAGTGCTTTTTAAAAAACCTATGAAAATGCTGTTATCAAATGCATAAATATTCAATAAATTGTTCCCATTAACAATGTAGACTGTAGTCAAATATTAAAACTAAAACAACAATCTTCAAACAAGATCATGCTTCATATAATAACAATACATAATGCTGGTATTTGAATGCACGCAAACACATTGTGTGGGCATCTACTTCTCTCAATAAGAACCAATTATATTTAAAGATTCTATTTTAACAATGTGATAAACTTCATGAATACAAATCTACTTAAGATACAAGAAGAAAGGAAAGTCATACAACTACAACAACTGCAGCTTCTTGATCGCTTTATACTGGTCTGGGATTTCCCTCAAAGCATGAAGTGCAAATGATTCGTTGGGGTTGGGCCCTTTAGTCACGCTAGCGTACTCAACAAAGTGGAAGTTATCAAAGTTTCTCTTGGGCAGTTTGTCATCAAATTCCTGGGGGAACAAATATTGTCACATCAGTAAAAAGTTTAACTAACCCTAAAATATAAGTTTAATGCATACAGTGTCATATAGCATCTATTACCATGTTTGCTATATCTTTAAAGCTTTAATCAGTTTTAACATTTGTTCAGCACTGGGGTAGCTAGGAAGAGGTTTCCATACTGCCTTTTCAAAAACAATTTTTTTTTAAAGTTGCTTGAGTCTGAATTCAAGCTTCCACAATGGAAGGCAGACTTGTTAGCCATTGAGCTATCTAAGTGTTTATAAAAATAGAAGGTTTTATAGTCTATTGTTAGTTTGAAATTTTTAGTTAACAACCTAATTCTCTACACAAGGTTATCTCCCCTTAGCCTAGTAGGCCCTACTTTCTGTATATAAAAGACAAAATTAATTAATTACGACTAACTGATTAGATTTTTTTTTAATTTTCTTCGACAATGAATAATTGTGCAAACTTTCAACTTGATCCGAGCTTGGGAAGAGTGAGAAATAATGTTAACAAGATTACACCCAATCAGACAGAGTGAGTTAATATAACGATTGTAAAAAAAAAAAAAAAAAAAAGATAACCGCAATAAAACAAAAATAATAAGATCTATCTTAGATCAACAAATAATTCATTATTCACAAAAAAAGACATTTGGCTATAAATAAAGAAGACAATTACTATATATTATGTTTCATATTTACTTAAGAAACAATATTTGTTTGTACCTGCATTGTATCCCATGGGCCATCTCCAACTCCTACAGTAATAATAGACAATGGATAGTTCGATGCTTCAACAATGGCTTGAGTTGTGGCCCTTTCATTGGTTACTTGACCATCAGCCACAATTACCAAGATATGATACTTTTTAGGAATATAAAAAACATATATTGTTCCAACATTCCAGCACAATATTTTAATAAAATGGGGGTAAATAGAATTAAAAAAAGGACTGTTTTTCATTGCCTAATAGTGTAACACTTTTTAATGATACATCTGTTTGTTGTATAAAACTCAAGTAGATGATTTTAAAAGTTCATAATTAAAATCAACTGAATTCTTTTTTAATAGTTTTTTCCAAATGAATAATTTCACTACGTATTTGCTTGTGTCTGTGTGTCAAATAATTTTTTTTTAGTCATTAAATCCTTTAGGCTCATACCTTTTTTAAAAACCAGCTCAATTATTTAAGCTAAAAAAAATAAAATATCGGCATATTAAATTTAGACCATAAAAATTTTAAAATCTAAATTGACACTATATGACCTTTCACAAGCTATGAAACATATACCAAACTGAAAGTAACAAAATTTGTGTACAGATTACAATTAGAAGTCCTTGTTAATCAGAAATAGAGATATACTAAATGTTTCTTTTTCTTCATTTAATTGTTTTTAAGTTGTTACTTTAAATTTTTTTGTATTCAAAAAAGTTTTAAAGTTGTTGTTTTGGAAAAAATGTAAATTTTGTTAGCCACCATATAGGCTTGGAAAATAAGTTTCTACTTTCTACACTGTTGGTCTGCAAGGGATAAATTTTAGAGAAAAAAACACAAATAAAGACTATAAAATAATGAAATCTAATGATTGTAAAATATAGTTAAACAGTTGTCGTATCATTGTTCCGTTTATTTTAGTGAAAAAGAAACAATAAAAAAGAGCACAAGATGCAATAAATAGAAACACAGGATGGCATGTCATAAAAAACTGGCAACACTTACAGAGTTTGTAGCTTTGACAATTTCAATGGCCTGATTTATGAGAGGCGCAAAGTTGGTTGGTCCTCCAAGACGTACTTTTGGTGTCAGCTGATTGTAAATCTCCAAGACTTCTTTAAACCCAGATGGTATGCCCTGGAATGAACAATGGGATATTTTAGTTAGACTGAAAAGTTAAAAAAAATTGGGTGTTTTTATGTTATAAAAACATTTACTGATAATGTTACTTAGTTGTTTTTTTTTATCACTACATTTTTTTTTTTTTAACATTTGTGATTGAGTTTACAATTTGCATTACAATGACGGCATATTTAAATATATAGTGATTGTTTGGCATATATGTAGCCAACAGTCAGCACTTTGATCATTATTGGTCTAACTTGTTTATAATTTTAAGCATTGTCTAAAGCATTCTAAAAATTCATCTTTTAACTAAGTGACTGTTTCATCAAAATTTTACGCTAAGAAAACTTTCAACTAAGAATAGTTATGCAACATATAATTTTAAAAGTTAATAAAAGTAATTATTTTTCTAAATTGTTGCAGAAAGACCTAAACATTATTTATTTGGCATTCTAGGACTACTGCCTTTCAAGACGGTAAAAAAAAGAATACAGAGAAGATATGTAAAGATAAAGTTGATTAAATTGACAAAATGTCTTTTTAAATAAGGTAAATTTATAAGTGTATAAAAAATAATATTCGGAAAGTGATTGTGATATTTAGTAATTTGTGTATTTAGTATGTAAATATAAATCGCTAAAGCTATATTCAAGCATGTTGTTATTATAGAGCCCATAATGAACAAGTTAACGCAAAGGCTTTACTCGCTTTGTTTAAGTGATATTGGCTATTTAAAAAAAAAGGTTATGAAATAATAGATGCCCAGACGATGGCATTGCTATCTACTGTGCAAAGTGGAATAGCTCAAAATAACTTGATACTTGATCTGTTGAGTGACATACATCTATCTTGAGTTGAAACACAGAGCGATCTTTAGTGTATGCATCACCAAAGCCAAACGCTGGGATGGCCCCATCACTGTCAAAAGGTTCAAGTGTCTCTCCAAGAGTGCCGATGACCTAATAAGCAAAAAGAGTTTTACAATTACAAGTTTAATAATAAATTTTACATTTTAACATATAATATATGTAAAGATTATATGGAGGCGCAGTGGCTGAGTGGTAAAGTGTTTGGCTTACAAACTGGGGTACTATAATTCGAATCCTGGTGAAGACTGGGATTTTAAATTTTGGGCTCTTTGGGCACATCTGAGTCTACGCAGCTCTAATGGGTTTTTGACATTAGTTGGGGAAAAGTAAAGGCAGTTGGTCATTGTGCATGGCCACAGAAACAGATGACATTTACAGCATCTGCCCTATACATTGCAAGGTCTGAAAGGAGATTATTAAAGAAAGCCGGTCAGTTATGTGATAAGGACTTATTTTTTAACCAATGCTGTCAAACTAAGAAACTATGGCAAGTGACTTTAAAATATCTTTGGTCCTGCTAGCATTTTTTTTTAATAGTTACTGGTTCTCTTTGCTAGAAACAAAATTTTTTAAAAAACAATATGTTTGAAAAACAATCTAAGTAATATCCTTGTTCCCTTCTGCATCACTGTTGCTCTTTCTACTTCCTACACTAGAGTTTCATTATATTTGCCTGCCTCTGAGGCAAGATAAATATTATTATTTTCATGTGAACTTGTATATCTATGTCATAACCTAACTGGTTTATTGAAACAGATAATCACAAATAAAAATCCAAGAAATACTTACACTTTGATAGGGATTCAAGATCTTGTCACTTATTTCATGCAGACATTTTCCCCCAAATGTCTTCTTTCCTTGCATATAATTTGATCCAGTATAATCTATCCCTTTAAAAGAACGAAAATATAAATAAGCTTAGAGCTCTATAAGCCAGTGTGTATCTTTTGGCTGCTACATTTACCTATTGCTTTTTTTTACAATACCTCTATTAAACTCATAACTTCATGGAACCTACAACCTTATGGTGGGTGGAACCTGGACACGGATCTAAAAAATGGCTCTAATGATTTTCCTAGAAATTCAAGGCAGCATCTGCACCATTACTTTCTATTACATCTTTTAAACTTCTTCAATTTCTTGCAAAAAGGTGTGATGTAATCGAATATTACACATGGAAATCTA